AGGGCTGTGAAGGAATGTGAAGGTTTGAGTATTTCTTAACAACTAAACCTGCGTAGGAGTCTCTCCTGTAATAATTGCTACTTCTCCCATTGCATTCAAATACTGTTGAGTACTTAAGTTGTTCAAAACATTTATTTCTGAAATATTAGATGAATAGTGATTTTCATCATCTGCATTTTAAAGCTGGGGTCTGAAAAGTACATGGATGATAGACCCAGAGCAAAGGAATAATATCCCTTTAAAGAATGCATGGGTTGAGGTATGTAGAAAGTATAGTTGAGGGAGGTTTAGTCCAATTGTAACTATCATTACGCCTAGATGGCTTGATGTGGAGAAGGCAATAATTGTTTTGGGTTAGGCAATGTTTTGGGTTAGGGCACATGTGGTGGCGAATAGTGTGGAGAGGGCACCTATGCAGAGGCATAAGGTAAGGGCATTTTGGTTGTTACAGAATATGGAGTGAGTGTGGATGAGTAAGAAAATTTTGGCTACTACTATGGTGCTGGAGTGAAGTTGGGCAGATAGTGGGGTGGGATCTTCTATGGCAGCTGTAGTCATGGGTGGAGGCCAAATCGAGCAGATTTTCCTGTGGTGGTTAAAATGAGACCTAGAAGGGGGAGTAGCAGAGTCTGGTTTGTGGAGGAGGACTGTTGAATTTCTCAGATATTTATTGTGGAGGCTAGTCATGCTATACAGAGAATAAATCCGATATCTCCAACATGGTTGTAGAGTATGGGTTGAAGTACAGCAGCATTGGCTTCTGCTTGGCCATGTCATCATCCAGTTAGAGGGAATGATATGATCCTGACTCCCTCTCAGCCAATAAATAATATTGGAATATTATAAGGAATAATATATGAGGAATATATTGTTGGTGATGGTTAATATTAGTATAGCAATGAGGAAGGTTAGGAGGTGGGAGAAGAATTTTGTGATATGGGGTTCTGAGACTATATATATATATCACATCTGTCATTTTTTTTTTATTTTATTCTATATTGCACATCATCCACCTAATTTTCAACTTAGAGTCCTTTAGGGGTTGACAAACACATAGGTAAGGGTGATGTGATTGATAGAGTCTAGTTAGGTTTCCAAATGCCCCTCTACACAAGCTTGTAGTGAAGCTAAGATGCCATTCTATGATATACTTCCATAAATACATAATTGTTTAGGAGGAAAAAGAGAAAGTAGAAATAAATTGTCAAGATGTCTTGAAGTAGTCACCAAGGCATCCTATGGAAATTTATGCCCTTCAGCATGTTCGTATGGGACCAGAGTGGGTGCCAGAGAACAGTGCAAAGACAAGTTTGTTGGTGAAAGCTACTTTGGAATAGCAAGGACAGTATGTAATTGTAAGGTCCTGTGGAAGGACCATCACAGTATCTCCAACTGTGAGTGATTGAGCAATAAAATAACAGGCACATTTTAGTGTAGATAATGAGATATAAAGTAATGCACACTGCATAAAATCATTGTGGGGTTCATAAAAATGTCAGCATAGAGCCCAGTGATGGTGAAAAAAAAGGAAATGAAGTGTTAAGAATGGTTAAAAAAGTCAGTATAAATTAGATAACAATATTGTGCTGTTGTATAAATTATGACTCACCCGTATTTTGGTTACTGTGTGCCAGCTCTGCTCTCATTATCTTCAAAGAATATAGTGCAGTTAGAAAGAGCTTTAGAGAGAAGGATGAGTATAATCAAATGGCTCTTATATGAGATTGAACAATCTGGGACTGTTCAAATTTGAGGCAAAATTACTTGGGGATGTATAATAGAGGTCTACAAAGTTGTGAATAATATAGAAGGGTGACTGGGATCAGTTTGTCAGATTTAGGTCATTGAAGGAAGTCTGTACAAACCAGACAAATGGAAATGTTTCAATGCTGTCGTGGATCTTTCCAAATGATACTGTGTTCACTAAAAGCTTGCATGGTTTTAGGGAGAAAATGGCCCAATATATAGACAAGAGATACATTGGGAATCTCTAAATATGTAGGAGTACATCCAGTTCAGGGAGTTCTGACACTAGATCTTCATTTGCATGTGAATGTAGGCACTTCATAAACACGGATATGCAATTTTATTTGGAGAGTTAAATAACATTTGAGTATCACCTTGGAACTGTGTAGAAAATTCAGGGATCAAATCTAATTCCTTTGAGTAGCATTTGAACTACCTGAATGATTCAGTGTTTCCCTTTCTCATTCATTGTGGCAACACTGGTACAAATGAGACAGGATAGCTGTCTCTACAGCCCTGCTCTGTGCCAGCCCAATTCATCCTGTGGAAACGATCTCTCTCTCTCTCCTTTCCGTTAAAGGAAGTGAGCATCTCTCAGAAGTGCACTAGATGAGCATGCAATTAGATTGTAATAAGTGGAAGGACATTTATAGTTGCACAGACAACTAATGTTTTCTGGCTAGAGTGATAATCTGAATTATTTTTCAGCTAAAATGAAAGTGTTGAAGCCATTCTTTCTAGGACTGTAAACTGAACAGCAGTGCAGATGAAGTGCAGGATTCACTCCCAAAGCACTAGTGTCTTATTAGGATAAGCCTCCTCTGGTGAAAGGAATAGCTCAACAATCTGTTTTTTCTCAAGTAGTGTATGCTTATCTGAGGAAAAGAACAACCCCAGGTTCTGGTCTAACTTGTCAGCATTTAAAATTGCTTTTTATAGGTTTTCACCCATATATGCAATTCCCCTTTTCTACTTCCAATTTTAAATGTGAACAGATGTTATTAAATTAAAACCTGATAATAATTTTTTTTGAGCTGCACCTTTTGTTATATTATGTCTATAATTATGAATGTTTCATGGTTGTATTTATACCAATTATGAAGGGAAATAATAATAATTTAGTACTGCATACATGAAATCTCAGCTCTGTCTTTTTAATTATTGCATTTTTCTTTTGCTTATCTTGTAAACATTATACCTTATAACTTTTCATAGACTTTACCTTTCCATATTTCTTCGTGTTTTCTGTTTTGTTGTGTTGTGGGATTTTGTTTGTTTGTTTGTTTGTTTGTTTTTCCCATGGATCTCCTTGATTTAATCTTACCAATTCCTGTGAATTTCTCCTTTTTTGATAACTTCCTACTCCTGGTAGGTGGAGATTACTTACATTAATCTTGTAGAGGTAGAAAAACCCAAGTAAATTAATTCCCAGCTGTGTTCCAGGAAAGGTAAGTTTCTCTTCTGTGACACCCAGTGTGGGAAGGTATCAACATACAGGAGAAGGACACACTTACATAGGCCAAGCTTCCCTGGGAACTGGATCTAAGTTACTTCCAAATAAATTACTAACAACCCAGTTAGAGTGAGATGTAAATTTAGTCCAGTTCTTAACATTGATGCTCAAATTTCTTAACTGGACTTTGAGAAACAATGTGCTTTTGGAGTTTGTGTACGTTATAGAACTGTATTGTATTGTAAAGAAACTTGTCTTCCAGAAGAGATTTAGATATAATGTTTATTTCTTACTGAGTTGTCTTCCACATCGTGTAACCATTTAAATAAAAATATGATTAATCAATATTAATATTGATACTCCTTACTGGGAACAAGTGCCAGCTCTCTGAAGATGTCTGAGGAGTAAGTGGACACTGTCAAATAGTGCTTTGGTCAGAGAGGTCACTGGACAAGGGGCATTGTGAAAGTAGGACCCTGAGGCACTAAATTAATTTTCATCAAGCTGTTGTTGGCCAAGGCAGGAGGAAGAGGCAGAGAATGAAGTGGGTTTTGCAACTTAATTGCATTTGGGTGCAAATAAAATAAAAAGGAAAAAAAAGAAAGGGGTTAGAAATGCAGTCTTCAGGGGAACTTCTGGAGAAACTGGAAGAGGATTGTAGTCCAGTGCTGTCAAAATATATGTGCCCCAAAGGCTTCCTCTTTCTGCAGTCAAAGCACAAGTTTGGGAATGCTGTGAACCACATCATTAACATGTCCATAGCCACCTTTCCTCGGAAGTTTTCCTTATTTTTCCCTGTTTGAGGTTTTGAAATTATCTCTGGGTGTAAACAGACCACCTGGGATCCCTGCCTCCTGTGGTGGGGAGACAAATTGCGCTTCACGTCTGGATGGGATGTAAAGGTGAGGAAATTCAGTGAGTGGAACATAAGAACACGGAAGTGTACCTGATGCAGTGTACAGAGTCAAGTTGCATAAATTTCAGGTGTCTTGCTGAAGAGGGTATTTTTGTGAATGAGTGGTCCACAAGGAACTCTGGAGGTTTACAGGAGCTGCTTGCTCCAAGGACTCTCTTGAGACTGAAGTGGTCATTTCTGTCAGTTGGTAATGTTTTGGTACTTCTGTAGCAAAATCTAGTTCCGGTCTCTGGAGCCATCCAAGAGCAATTCTTTGTTGTTACTGCCCATTTGAAGTGGATCAAGATGCTGGATGTGAAAATAGTCTTCTCTTTTTCTTCATACACAGAAATTTCCACATTATCTTGCAAGAATGAAGAATGAAGTTAACAATTATTACATAAATCTCATGCTACAGCTGTTCTTTTTGTTGCCACTGGGGAGTGCCGCACTATTTCTGTACTGCTGCATGTTTCCCTGTGCAACTGCTCTGCAGAAGGTTACAGGAGACTGTGGACTATATTGGGACCCCCAACAAGAATGATAAAATTTTGTTAAAATTGGTCGATCCATTGTGTGCTGATATCTTACCTGTTTCAAAGTAATGGCATTTTTTTTAGAATTGAATCATGTTTGTACATTTAACTGAGTGAAAGCAGCATGCCATTAATTGAGGTAATAAACATGTTTTTCTGGTGTGCTATGAGCAGCAAATCCAAAGCAAGTCATGTATATGAATAGTATGGAACTGCAATACACTGAGTAATAAATATTCCATTCAGTTGTCAAACCTGATAGGAACTTCAACTAAATGAAAAAGGCAATGTGTCTTATATCTACACACTTGCCACTGGGGGAATTCTGTAGAAATGAGTGTTGTAAACATTTTTTCTTTCATTTTGACAGGTAATATTTGAAGCCGAAGTCTCAGATGGGAGAAAGGGCTACATTGCCATTGATGACATCCAGGTCCTGAGTTACCCTTGTGGTAAGTAATGATTAAGAGCTGCATTTTTCTCTGTCTGTTCAGGACATATTTGATATTGTTGTGGCCTGCTCAGTTTTCATCACTTGATCACTGATGTTCTTTTTTCCTTCAATAGTATTTTTGTTGCAGCTTCCAGGAGGAAATGTAGTGTTGCAATAGTGATTTGTCTGGGTAAAATCTTTTTCTGCCAGAGGTAAATTATACAGGGATAAAAAAGCAGGAATTCTTCAGTGTCTTTTTAGTCATACTGTAGTTGGTGTGCATAATCAAAATGGGTTTTAATGTTAATATGTGTACTCACTGTTAAAGAAAACTGAATTGGCAGATGCTTGTAGGAGGTTTATCAGATTTCATGCCATTTTTCTTTTTTCTCTTTTTTTTTTAATTCTAAACAGGCACAATAGATTTAAAAAAAAAGAAAGTAAAAGGGCTATTGAACTACAGAGGGATTGCATTCTGTTTATTTTTTTTTGTGGACAGACTTCAGACATTTGTTTTTGCCTTTTCCTTCTTAATCCTGGGGAATAATTACACACATGCAAACACAAATTGTGATAATGAGAATCTTCTACAAATAAAAAGTTGTGAGGAAGACATTGTTACTGTGCATTTCTGACACTTGTTATCAATTCTTTTTGGCAATTTGGTTCTGTTCAGCTCTTTTGATCTTCCCCTAGACATACCTGTTCTAAAATGTGATTTCATTGTAATGCACCACATGGCTGATAATTTAATTGCTTTCTGAAATGATCAAGATATCACAATACCCTGCCCCAGCTTTGCAAAACAATGTCAGATAATAAAGTTGCAATGGCAACCTCATATCTTGTTTTCTTCTACCCCAAACCTTTTAAAATCATAGCTCCCAGGGGCTACCAAGCTTACAGGGTATTTGAGTGAGTTACCTTTTTATATTTCAGCCAACCCAGCTATCTGATGTCTGTACTCAGCAAAGCTCTGCTTGGATTCAGTATCTGCCTTTCTTTCTGCCTCTCCCCCCCACTCCTATGTGTTTTTTTAAGTGCCAAAACAAAACGTACAGTCATACCAGCGGATTATCAGCATGTTACAGTATTCAGATAAGCTCTTTTTTGTTACTGCTGTTTAAACCCTCTTCGTTCCAATTTAATGGTTTATTTTCTTGTGTATTTTGGGATTTTTTTTTAATTTTTTTTTTTAGTAAGCACAAAGAAATAACAGTTCAGCTGCTGTTTTCTTTAGTAGGTCTTGAGAGAGGGATGGGCAAGCTATGCAGTGTACCCATTTCTCAAATGTGTCTGTCGGCTTTCTTCAGTTTAATAAATCCTTCAGGTGATTTTGCCACTGAGGTTTCCTAGAGGCTTTGTCAGTGTGGGAAATAGATTTGTCAGCTTCTGAAATACTACATTCAATGGCATGAATGATTTCATTTTCTAAAACAAGAGCTCCGAGTTGCATTGCAAATAAGTGAATAGTATCTCTCTATTTGCTTGAGCAGTATGCTGCTAATTGGGTTTTTCTCAGTATGATGGATTTCATACAGTCTTTGGGATAATTTTTGTAAAGTGCTGCTGACATTTTGGCATTTGTTCTCCTTCTTTTGGCTTTGATTTTAAAAAGACTTTATTATAACCCATGTATAACATGAAGTTAGTAGAATCACCAGGGGAGAAGGGAAAGGACTGAAAGCACTCCTCGAACAAATGAGAGATGAAAGAAATAATTTTCTCTTTTCTGTTTCTCTTTTTTAGCCAAAGTTTGTGAAAATATGGATGTTAAGGGAGATAATAATGTTGCTGGCACCTTTATTTTTTGTAATAAGTCTTATTTGTAATTTTCATTTTCTCCCTCTGCAGATAAATCTCCACATTTTTTGAGGTTGGGGGATGTAGAGGTCAATGCAGGGCAGAATGCTACATTTCAATGCATTGCTACAGGGAGAGATGCAGTGAATAACAAGTTATGGCTCCAGGTAAGGCTAACTCATGCAAGTCTATTTGGCTAGAGGACAAGCTACTTTCTGGAGATGAAATGTTTAAGTTCCTAAGCCTTTTTTTCTTCTACATGTAAAGGATGTAATTTAAATGCAATTTTATCTCTGTTAAATGGAGAAACTTTAATCAATTTTTTAATTCTAAAAAGCTTGCATTAAAAATTAGAACAACTGGTGTGGATGCTGGGGTAGGGTTGGCCCTTAAAGGTATTGTGGGCCTTCTCTCCTTGTAAATCAACTCTCTGTGTCAAAATTTATTATCATTCAATGCAGATAATTGGCATTTGGGATCTAGTATGACACAGATGTAACACAGCTGTCATGAATTTTGAGGGTTATTTTATCACGTAAATTACCTGGCTGGAGGGACATGGCTGTACTTCCGTGTGCATATCCATTTTGCTCAGCAACATATTTAATGGAACAGCATAAAAGGACTGCTACATGTCCTTTTTCTCTGTCTCCATAGTAGGAGGAACCTGAACTTTTACCTATGTGTGATTCTGAGTAGTATGTATCTCAGAATTTAAGAGATGACTAAAACCAGAAAAAAATCCTTCTTAGTATAAAAAAAGAAAAAGAAGAAATTAACATGATCGTCCCTACAAAATAGCCACTTTCCTTTGTAGCCTGGGGATGGGGTTACTTACAGTTCAGACCACTGGTTAAGTAGGAAGATAACAAAGTTTCCAATTGCTCTTTAAAAAATTATATTTTAACACTTAATAAGGATTTAAAAAAATCACTTTAGTTGTATGTGTACCTTTGTGTGCATTCTTTATATGTAAACCTTAAGCACCAACATTCCTTTAGAAAGGTTTCTAAATATATTCTCTAAAACTTTTTTTTTTTAAAATGTGTATTTCTGTATATTTTCAGAACTGTAAAGTTCTGAAGTACTTTTTGGGAAAATGTACTTTTAAATTAACTACAGTCAGAACTTTAAAACATTTATTTTTTGTCAAGTGTTGTAGTTTGAAGTGAACTATAACCAACTACTTCAATCTGCTTATTTTTTAATTAATAGTGGAGCTGACAAACCTTGACTAACTGTTGCATATAGGCATGCGATAAGTTAAAAATTTAAAAAATATTTTTATTAGATTATTAAAAATCTGATATGCAAAATGTATTATTAGACAAATATACTGCAAAATTAAAGAAGTAACACAAGTATAGCAGTAACTGCATTGGATTTAGTGAAAAGGTATCATAGCAGTAGGAATGATTTGTACTCCATGTCTTGGAGCAATAATTTGTTTGAACTGGGTAAACATAGAATGCATTCATTGAGAAAAAGGAGTTGATTTCTGAGACTTGCCAAAAAAGCACACTGAGCACACAAAATGAAACTAAGCTGGATTTTGCTGTATCCAAGGCAGAACAATAGCCATAGGAGCATTCCAGCAAACCTGCGAAGCACCATTTTCAGTTGATCGTTGATCAGAAAGACCCGATAGAGACAGCCAGCTGGAAATCTTCCCTATTGCTCACTCCTTGGAGTCATAACTCTGACAGATTATCCTTTCTAACTTTCAATCCCCTGAGAAGCCCAGTTAGCAGCCAGGTCAACTCAGAAAACATATGTTTTGTCCCTCCATATGCTTCATGGATCGTTTGTTTTTTCTTGTATGTGTGTTTGTGGACCACAGATGTGGTAATGTCTCACAGTGCAAAAAATAAGGTCCTTTAGAGGTTATAACTCTGCTTGCTTGTGCTTGTGAAGTACCCTGATACTCTTGAAGATACTTGCTGCTTGAGCTTCTGTTCCACTTCTTGTTTTTCCATAAACAGTGCCAAATTTTCACCAGTTTAAAGGTGACTATTTTTTTTCTTCATCACTTATCATTCCACCGCTCAATCCAATATAAGTGTGAATCAACAACCTTCCCTTTCTGGATTGCCTTCCTTAGATTACACTCAAAGTCACTGCTGTTGTGCACAGCTAATAGTGAATTTCCTCCTTTTTCTTAAAACCTCAGGTGGACATATATGGGGCCTCATGTGGCACTGGAGCGTAACTTGGAAAAGGTTCGGGTTAACCTTTGACCAAACCGGAAATTCATAAAGCCCGAATACCCTGAAAGGAAAAACTAGCAGATCAAATCAAATGCCTAAGTAATTGTTTTTGAGAGCATTGAGCTGAAACATTCCAGGAATGTATTTTTTTCATAACGAGAAAGGCCATTGAAAAAAAATGTACAAAAATGAAAAATAAATGGACGATGGTGGGGGAAAAGACACTCTCCAAGCACATTGTGTTAGAGAAAATAGCTTTAGGTTATGTCCTTATTGAAAGAGAAAAACTATTTCCGTGAGGAGAAAAAAAAAAAACAAAAACCAAAAGCAAACCAGTAAAGAATTTGCTATTAAAAGACATTCTTTGGCAGGGAAAGTTCCAAAGTCTGATCTGGGACACTAGGCTTTTTGTATCTGCAGGGATCTAAGATCTCATTTGCTTACACTGAAACAGTAAAGATGTGCAAGCAGAGATTTCGTTAAAGATTCTATACCACTGCTCTCTGTCTCTCCCAGCCCCCTGTTTTGAAAAGAATTAAAGTAAATTGAGCAGCACATGAAAAAAAATAGCAGCCACCCTGCTCTGTGTTCAAAGTCCTGCAATCCCACAGCTGCTTCAGCTGGGCTCAGTCTGAACTGTCACAGCCTTGGCTTCACCTTCTTGATCCCTCTCTACACTGACTCTGGACCTTTTGCAGTTTGCCAGTCAGTCAGTTCAGGAAAGTGATCTGACTGAAAAAGACTTTGACTGAAATTGGGTTTTTGTTATTGTTGGGGGTGGGGAGGACTCTGTTTTGGTGTGGTTTTTTTGTTTGGTTGGATTTCTTTTTTTGTTTGCTTGTTTTTTTGGATTTTTTTTGTGTCTTTTTCCCCAGCTTGATTCATGTCTAAATTACCTATATAAATAATACCAGCAGGTAGAAAAAGATTAGGATGTTTGGTTAGAAGCAGGGAAGAGGGAAAAATTTTAACAACCTGAAATAAAAGTGGGGATCTTGGCAGTATGTCTCCCTGTAGTGTCTTATGTAAAGTTCAATATTGTTATAGTTACTGGGGAAGAGCCCTGATCGTATACTAGGTGAGCTATGTGCATTCACATTTCCATGCTTATGTTTTTCCGAGTGTATATATAATTAAGTGCACATAGCTTTATATACCTTAAAATAAAAATTAATAAAAATAGGCACATTTCAGTACACAGTTTCTTGTGTTTACCGCTGTAATGACAGTATTTTCATCAACTCCATTTTCTATAAATGTATGTCTGTAAACATTTCAGACAAATAGGGATTAACATTGAATTGAACTTCTGACTTTCATGGCTGCAGATTCTGCTCTTGTTTGTTTGTTTTTAGATTGTATCTGGTCTCTTGTCCCCTTTGATACCCCTTCCCTCCAACCCCTGTATTTTGCAGCCCCAGTGGACCAAGATCTGGGACAGACATAGTTCTGTCATTGAAAGATAAGCAGTAAAGATAATGGAAGTTTTTAGAAGTTGCAGCTGCATTAATATGGAACAAATATTTGAGCAGATCAAGAGATTTAACTGGTTGAACAAGATGGTCTGAAACACACCTTTTGTGACTGTGAATAGTAGGTATGGGAGCAGGACAGAAATGCAGCTGAAGTTCTTTTGTTCTTCACTTTTTCAACCTAATCTACTGTCAAATCTTTTATAATTGAGAGCTGAAGGATTCTCTTTATGACCTGCAATTATTAGCAAATTTTGAAAGTTTCAAAGTCTTTAGTTTTTGTTTAAATGTGAAACAACATTGATGTTGTTTCTGAAATACGTTCAGTCTTGATGTGTAGTATCTTTTTTGCCTGCCATACCCTTCAGAATGTAGTGGGGGAGGGAGAGGGAGTTCCTCAGTATTTTCTCCTTCCTCTTAAATTTTCCTCTGCAAAATATCACACACCAACAGCCGTTGGTGCCACTACACACACTGAAGCAGTTGGGTTGTGTGATAGAAGTCCCCAAATCCAGGGTGGTAACCTAGTTTTTCCACCTGTTATGCATTGGTATTTTCTGACTTACAAGCTTCAGGAGATAACAGAAGTTCTTGCTGAAAAATGCTTTCCTGTAGGAGATGAACATAAGTGTGTGTGTAATCTTAAAGAAATGAATATAGTGTGCATAGACTTCATAATTAATCAGTTCTGGCCCACTTACTGCTGATTTTCTTTTTTTCCAAAGCCTATGAATTGTCTTTCTTTGAAAAAACATTTAAAGAATAAGGATTCTTTCTTTTTTTAACATTTGATGCACCTTACTGCTTCATGCACATTAATTTGCTGAATTAGTATAGAAAGGACCCCCTTTTAATTCTATTTATTTCCCTGTGAAATGCCATACACTCCAGTGGAGTTACATCAGTAAATAGGCTTGCAAACAAGTTCCTTCTGTGCTCAGAATGGATACGTGTTATGTATTAAATGTTTGAAAGAATAATGCTCACAGAGCATTCTAAATATGAAAATACAAGAGTGGGGTTGGGGCTCTGTTTGCCTGTTTGATTTGGAGATTTCTGTTTGGAGAAAGCTTCCATGGATTTGAGCTTCATTTCTTTACTGCAATAGTAGAGAAATAGAATTGACTGGATAGGTTAAATAACATTTAGGTACACCAAGACCGTGGAGAGCAGTGTATGTGTTGTCCAGCATTTGTTCTGCTGATCTAATTGGGATATCAGAGCAACAGGATTTTTTGCATAATCGGGCTGTGTTTAACGGCTTCCTGAGCTGGGAGCAATTGTGGTTCCCAGAACTCCAATACGATTTTCAGTGTCTTATCAATGTCCGATTTAACTGGACACTCAAACAGTGCAGAGTATAGAGCTTTTTGCTAGAACATCTGTTAAACCATATGTCTTGGCACCAGGTTCAGATGGCGATAACTGCAGCACTAATGAGTCCATCCATCATTGCTGAGCTTTGCATTAACATAGCATTGGATTAGC